GGGCAACACTCAGACAGGCGCCCAGGCTGGGAACCACCTGAAATCTCCATGAGCCCCAGGTGGACCTCCTCAAGAAGCAAGTCCCAGTCCAGCCAAACATCAGCCATCCCGAGCAATATTGAACACATCATGAAGAAACCACAGATAAGCCCCCAGATTCTACCCAAAATGCCAGCCAACTGTCACCACTACCAAATATTGGAATTTATCACTGGGAGCTAAACTGGCAGCTTGGAGTCTCCCATCCTCCTATACCTTCCGCACCCCACCCTCAGCTGCAGAAGGGCGGAGGAGGCCTAGGAGACGCACTGGCTGGATAATTAGAACCGGCTTCTACTCTTCAGCCCTCCTGGGTCTTCTCTCCAAAGGAGATGTGGGTCCCCTCACCACCCCAAAACTCCCCTGGCATCCCCACCCTCTCACTCCTGCCAAAGTCACAGTGCCCCCCACTACTCCAAAGCCTCTCGAGCCCACAGGATCAGCCACTCAGCAAATCTCCTCCAGGAGTAATTGGATGTGATGGAACGAGGGCTTTTCAGGTCCTGAGTAGAAGTCTCCGGATGTCATTTAATGGCACAAAAAATAAAAGGCTCAGGCCTCCCGCCTACCACCGCCAGGACATCATTAATCTTGGCAGAAAGGTATCAGCGCTTCTATCAATGTGGCCGGTCCCGTGACGAGCCAGACAAATTACAGACCTGAGCCGGGCTCTCTGTGGGGCAGTTATTAGGCTGGAGTTGAGTTTTTGTTTTTTTCTTCAGGGCCACCATCCCCCAACAAGAAGCAGTGGTGCCCTTACCTAAGGGGAGAGGCAGCGAGGCCAGGAAAGAGGGTGACCACCTTGGGTAGATACAGATCACCAGCTGAAGGAATAGGGCTGTTCGGAGCCAGAGCCAGTGGCCCCTGTCCTTACGGAGACTGCCCTGGGACAAGATGCTGCCGCAGCTCCAACCTCAGGGGCTCAGCAACCCACTCCCTATTCTCCAGTCCACCCGAACAGGAGCCCATGGGAGAATGGAGCTGGGGTGAGGAACTTCCCTACCCCACTTCCCAGGCTAAGAGGGAAATACATCAGGACGGAAATACTGAGGACCAAGTGACCAGTCAGGTGGGAAACGTCCCTTGGCTACAGCAGGGTCACCCAGGAAGTGCTGTCCTCAGCTGTTGGGAAGTCTTAAAGAGTGGGCCTGGCTGGGCTCGGTGGCTCACACCTGTAATCTCAGCACTTTGGGAGGCCCAGGCAGGAGGATCACTTGGGCCAGGAGTTTGAGATCAGCCTGGGCAACATAAAGAGACCCTGTCTCTACAAACAATTTTTTTTTAATTAGCCAGGTGTGGTAGCACACAACTGTGGTTCCAGCTACTCAGGAGGCTGAGGCAAGAGGATCACCTGAGCCTGGGAGGTCAAGGCTGTTATGACCAGTGATAGTGCCACTGCACCCCAGCCTAGAGAATGGGCCTGCTGAAGGGAAGCCAGGGGTGTCACTGGGGGTGGGGAACTTGTCTGCTAGGGACCCAGACTACAAAGTTCTACTGCTGGCCAAGGCCACCCTTTGAAGGACCAGACTGTGATTAGTTTAGTATTACTTGTATTATATTAAAAACTCGTCGAGGGCAGGAGGTGAAACGAGGCGGCTCCGCTGACCCCATGCCTGGCAGAGGATGAGGGTGATGGCTGCCAGTGTTAAAGGGGCTCTGGGGTCTGACCTCATCTAAGAGCTTGCACTTCTGGCAGGGGAGCAGACCCCTCTTTCTTCCGAGTCCTGCAAGGGGGCCAGGGTCAGCTGGACTTGGTGGAGCACCTCTCAGTTTCTCGGATGCCTGCTTAACCCTAACTGGCCCAATGGAGTCATCCAGATGCACGTGACAAACCACTCCCAAATGGTGGAAAGCCAGCTCCACAGATCTGGGAAGCTTGGGGTGGAGAGAGTGACTGTCAAGACCTGCCCCAGGGCATTCCTGCCATCATCACAGTCCCTGGGACTAAAGCTCCGAGGAGGAGACCCTTCCCCAGCTGCTGAAGACAGGGGACATCTTTCCCCCCTAGAGCCTGATAGGAAGCCAGGCACAGAGTGGTGGCCCAGAAACCCGCCGGTGGCTTTAGATAAGGTTATCAGACTCTCCCCTTGGCCCCCATCTGGAACAACGCTGAAATCTAACATCTCTCATCACTAACATCTTTCCTATCAGCACTGACCAGTAAGTGAGCGTTCCAGGGCCGCTGCATCTGGCTATGCAGGATGAGAACGGCACCCCCTATGGTTGTGCAGGGATCAGCCTGTACATCATATGCGGCAGCCCTGTCCTGAGACACCCAGGCCTCTGTGTCCCAGTCACAGGGCAGGTGGCTCATGAGACAGGCATCAGACAGCTTCCTCCTCCTTTCTCCCTTTAGCCAAGGCCTCCCACCACAGAGGCCTCTGAAGTGCCCACACTGCCCCGCCCTCATCCCAGGAAGAGCCTGGCCTGGGTGCGTCCAGGGTACAGTGGAGTGGCCCAAGCACAGACAGCAGCGCTGCCCTCTTCCTGCCTGGCCGCGGACTCTCTGCCTCTCAGGGACAGCAGTGCCATACAGGAAGGGGCTTTCCTCTGAGCGGTGACCACAGAAGCCGCAGTCTCCTAGCTCTCCAGCTCTCCCCACACACCCCAAGGGCCTGACTCACCCCCTCTGCCTTCTAGAACTTGTCCTCTGTGGCAGGAAACAGGGGGTGTAAGGAGTTGCGGCCGAGCCAGGAAAGGAGGCAGCAAGAGGCTAGCCGGCACAGGGACTGGGTTTCAGGAGCTGGCCAGGGAGCCCGAGAACCACAGGGCTGTCGACTTGGGACTGGAAAGGAACCACGAGGTCCCCAGGGCACTGAAGGCTCAGAGGCTTCCGAATTATCGAAGGGAGCCAGCTCTCGCTCTGGACGCAGGGGATTTCTTCCCCACAGCTTGCCCTGGCCTCGTGATGGGTTTCAATTCCCTTCCTGCCATGCGGGTTCCTTCCTGCCCTACGGTGGGGAAGGCCCCCTTGTCCCTGTTCCTGTCACACACCAATTCACCCATAAGCCCTTATTACCCTGGTATGCACACACACCGGCATACACACATATACACACATGCACCTACACATACACATGTGTGTGCACACACTCATTCCCAGGGTCATAATACCATAATTCCTTTCATTCCAGCCAGCTGGGCTCCTGGGGTGCAGAGGCTCAGGCACAGCCCCTCTGAAAGAACACTCAGGTAACACCGAGACTCCTAGGAGAACCCGACTGCAGTCAGTACACCTCCAGCGGGAGAGCCTTTCTCAGCACCTTGCCTATACTTTCTGCAAAAGAACTCCTGGAACCCCTTGTTTTCCAGTCCCCCTGGGCCCCATCTGAGCATGCAGTCACTGAGTCGGATAGGATTTGAGGGAATCTGCAAAGGCCTTCCCCCTATCCCTGCCCCTGCGAAGCTTCCTTGCCAGTACCCCACTTTGTGCCTCAGTCATCCCATCTGTGAACTGGGAATGGGAACAGTCCTCCCTTTTTAGGATTGGTGTGAGGATTAAGTGAATTATGTGTCAAGCTCTTAGAGTAGTACCAACACATAGGAAGCACAGAAATTGGGGTGTTACTGCTTTTATTATTTGCATTATTGTTATTGTTATTTTGGGTTTTGGATTAAAAATTATCCTTTCCTTGAGAACATCTTTGAAATGTCAGCAGCCTCTGGGAGGCAGGAACGCTTCAATGGGCTTGCTATCTTAATTGCTATGAAAAGGGTGGTGGGTGCTGACCAAGGAGACAGGTAGGTGAGAGGGTGGGTGGCCCGTGAGTCTCAGGTGAGGCTCTGAGAGCTGCCAGCCCCTTGCCCTCTTCTGTCTGGGTATCAGAGGTGACTGGTCTCCATTAATCCATTGTATATCGGCTACTGCCTAGCTCTGCTCCAGACAGGGTCTTCCCCAGGCACTCTCTCTCCACCCTGGGAGGTTGCTGCATTTAGCAAAAAACAACAACAAAAAAAGTAGGATGCCCAGTAAAATTTGAATTCCAAATAAACAACGAAAAAAAAAAAATTCGTGTTAAGTATGCTCCATGCAGAATGTGGGACACGCTCACACCAACAAACGATTTGCTATTTATCTGAGATTCAAATTGAACTACTTCCTGCCTTTTCCTGGCAAGCATCTGCCCAGGGTGCCTGACACCCAGGGTTTGGGAAACAAGAACGTGGGAATATGCCTCTGACCACTTCCCTCAGCCTCACTCCATGCCCCGGGCTGTGCCTTCCTCGCCCTGCCACGAGGCCTGTTCACACTCGCCCCAGAAGATGCGCCTCCCTGTACACACTTGTGTTTTCTCGCCCTGAGGAGGAACCCCTCCGACCTGGGCACTGTCTGGGCTTCTGCAGGCCCAGCTCTTCCACCAGGGTCCAGGGGCTGCCCCTCCACCTCTGCCACAGGGAAGGCACCCTGGTGCACGTCCTGTCCTAGGACAGAGAGGAGGAGGTTGGTGGGGTTTAGTGGAGAAGATTGAAAGAAGAGCACTGATACTTCCGCCAATCTCAGCCCCAATCTCAGCCCCAGCAGCAGGGGTGAGCAGGTGTGAAGGAAAGCAGTGGTAAAACCTCCCATCCTGAGGTCAGGGGAGCCTGCAGGGAGAGGGCGTGAGTGGAGGAAGTGGGCAGCCGACATGATTGGGCTTCCTTTCTGCCCGAGAGTGAGAAGGTAGCTTTGCTAAACTGAGGCGCTGGGGAAGGAGACTCAGGCATCCTTGACTTGGGCTGGGCTCTCAGTCCCCATTGCCTTCTGGAGAGCAGGCAGCTCTGCTGCTGTTCAGAGGCTCTGCTAACATCTGGGGACTGCCTCTGCAGCAGGAGCCAGAAGCTCCCACAGCCACTATGCTCCATGGCCATCACATCACCTGCTGCCTCGGCTCCCCTGAGCCAGCCTCCCTCCCAGGCCCCTGCTAACTTTCAAGTCCATGGCTCTTTCTCACTGCCTCCCTATGGTCTGTTTGTCCTTCCAGGCTCTTGGAAAATGGGCATATTTCTGAACCGCTTCCACCTGGGCGAACCTGAAGCAAGCACCCAGTTCATGACCCAGAACTACCAGGACTCGCCAACCCTCCAGGCTCCCAGAGGAGGGGCCAGCAAGCCCAAGCACAAAACCAGGTGGAGATAGCTGCCTGCTAGATGGCAGGCTTCGCCGTCCAGGCACGTGGCCACACTGCCCACCACCGACGATGTGGGTATGGAACCCCCTCTGGATACAGAACCCCTTCTTTTCCAAATTAAAAAAAAAAAAAAACATCCAGAGCTTAGTGCTTTGCTTCCTAACTTGTATTCATTTGAAAAGCAACAAGAGGAAATCGGCCAATATTCAGCACTGGGGACCGAGGCCTTCCTATAAATGCAAGGGGTTGGGTGGGGAGTGGGGAAAATAGACGGACAGGCAGGATATAGTGATCCCTGCACCCAAACTGTCACTGAGTCGCTGTGGGACCTCAGGGAAACCTCTTACCCTCCCCAAAGTTCTGCTCCCTTGGCTGTGACACAGAGGTAGGAAGAAGCGGGAGAGGGTGGTTGGTTTATCACCATGGGCCTTTCCAGGTCTGACATTCGACAACATTCATTCAGCAACTATTGTTGCATGTGGGATGCACCTGGCCTTCCTCCAGGCACTGGGGATGCATGCCTGCCTCATCCCCATGCATGGGTAGATAGGGCAGACACAGCGCAGTGCTCACCTCATGGAGCTTCCAGTCTAGCAGCGGAAGGAAATATCCCCAACAAATGATAAACTGTGACAAGTATGTTGAGGGTGCAAAGGGGGCCTGATTTCTGATGGAGAGGAAGACTCAGGCAGAGCCCTGATGTTTAACTTCAGGGCTGAAAAGTGGGCTAGGGGTTACCAGGTGAGTGGAGACAGGAATAGAGAACATTCCAAAGCTCCTCCGAGCCCCTGTGGCTGGCAGGGCACGCATGGCATCTTCCAGGAAATGAAAGGCCCGTGGTGTGGCTACTGCCAAGTATGAAAGGGCAAGAACAGCATGACGGGTGGGCAAAGGCCAGACCATGCCAGGCCTTGTTGCCATGTTAAAGCTCTGGATTGTATCCAAAAAGCAATGGGAAATCATTAAATGATAAGTAGATTGGGCCAGGCATGGTGGCTTGTGCCTGTAATCCCAGTGCTTTGGGAGGACAAGGCCAGAGGATCGCTTGAAGCCAGGAGTTCAAGACCAGCCTGGGCAGCATAGGGAGACCCCCCCCCCCCCCGTCCCACCAAAAATAAGGATAAAAAATTAGCCAGGTATGGTGGTGGATGCCTGTAGTCCCAGCTACTCAGGAGGCTGGCATAGGAGAATCACCTGCACCCAGAAGTTTGAGACTGCAGTTATCTATGAATCTATGATTGCACCACTGCCCCCAGCCTGGGCAACCGAGCAAGACCTCATCTCTAAAAAATTAATAAAATAAAATAAAAATAGATTGGAGGGGCAGATGGCATAATCAGATGTATGCTTTTAGAAAGCTGTGAATAAGGCCAGGTGCGGTGGCCCATGCCTATAATCTCAACACTTTGGGAGGCCGAGGTGGGCAAATCACCTGAGGTCAGGAGTTTGAGACCAGCCTGACTAACATGGTGAAACCCTGTCTCTATTAAAAATACAAAAATTAGCCGAGCGTAATGGTGGGCGCCTGTAATCCCAGCTACTTGGGAGGCTGAAGCAGGAGAATCACTTGAACCCTGGAGGCAGAGGTTGCAGTGAGCCGAGATCGCACCACTGCACTCCAGGCTGGGTAACAAAGTGAGACTCCATCTCAAAAAAAAAAAAAAAAAAAAGAAGGAAAGAAAGAAAGAAAAAGACAAAAAAGAAAAGAAAGCCATGAATAAATTCTTTGGTATCTGCAAGAAAAGGACTTTTGCCATCTAACTTCCCTGGGCTTTCTCTGCAGGCCTCTTGACTTCCCCACCCGAGGACTCCTGGGGAACCCCTCCCTGCTACAGTCTCATTCCTAGCCTAAAGTTTTGGAGGCCCCTCACCTCCCCACCACCACTCCAGTCCTTTCAGCACCCCTAACACCCTCTTCAGTTTGGTTTCCCTCAAAGAGTTAATAACCACCTCTCCTTGGCTAGCATGCAGCGACATTGGTGACTCATGTGTGCAAAGTGCTTTGAGATCCCCAGATGAAAAGAACAAGCTGCACCTGGGTACAGGGTTCTTACCATCTTAGAGTCCTGCCCCTCGCTAGCTGGAAGGCAGAGGGCCCTAGATGAACCCTTGGCCCAGCTGAGCACGCTTTTAACTAGTGGCACAATTTTAGTGGTGGGGATCTGAAGAAGACAGTGGGGCTGGAGGTTGAGTTTGTGAATGGGAGAGAATTGAATGATCCCCCCTTCATTGATAGATTCAGCTCCCTGCCCAGGTAAAGGGCACCAAATTCTGATGCTCCAGAAGGGCATTTTATGCCAGCCCAAGGTAAAAGGAAACCTGGGCAGTAGAAATTGTGGAGCCTCCCCACTTCCTTCTACCCCACCAGGCAAGCCTGCAAGCTGACCTAAAATAAGAAGCAAAAGGAAGTGTCCATTTGCAGTGCCATGGAAGGCAGCCTCACAGGGGAACTTTCTGGGTCCCCTATTCCCTGGGACCTTCTCCTCACAGCCCCCACCCCACAAGACTCAGAATGTAATTGGCAGCTCCGGTTGGTGCCCAGGGCCAGGATAAATAGAAGGTCAGCTTCCTAGAGCAGCCCCAAATCGAGACACATCCTCCCCTCTTCTGCTTTTAATTCATTGTGGCTAGCATGTTTATTTTGGGTGAGGAAAAAAAATCGGATGTTTATCCTTCGAGGAAATTATCGGCTTGCTTTCTTTCCTTCCCCCAACCCCCTCCTTCCTTTTGACTTGACATTTTGGGCTTTGAGTTTAGCTGCTGGAGAGACCCCCACCCTCCTGGCCCCAAAATGTGAAAAAAGAACAAAGCTGGCCCAGGCTCTAGGCTGAAGCCAGCCCTGGCCAGGCGATCCCTGGAAACCACAGAGAAGGAGGTCCCAGTTGTGGAGAGGGGAAACCTGGAGACCACGGGGACCTTGGGGAAAACCCAGCCTTGATGGTGCTTTCTGTCTGCAGAACACTTTGGGCCTCTCATCCTTTTCTTTGCACCACCTCCTCCAGGAAGAAACAAGATGAATATCTAAATTGCTTTGAGATCTCCAACGAAGCAGCCAAGAAAAATGTAAGGGAGCATTAGTGACCCCTTTACCAGGATAAAGAGAACTGACATTATTATTATCATCATTGTAATCAGATGCATTTATTGAGCACTTTCTGCATGCCAGGTACTACACAAAATGTCTAATGTGTGGTATGTCACTGAATGCATCCCCACGCTACTTCATGGCCTTCTGGGGGCCTTCATACATGTTCTCTCATTTGATTGTCACAACACGCTAATAAAGTGGGTGTTATTCTTATTTTAGAGATGAGGAAACTGACATTCCCATAAGTTAAGGAACCTACTCCCTATTCCCTAACTAGTCATGGTGGAATCTGGTGTTAACTCACGCCTCCTCAGGTGTAGTATTTAGAAGAAAACTGTACTCTAATTTTACTCTCTTGGCTATATAAGATAAAGGCCAGATCAGGATCTGGAGTGGGACAAAGAGAGAGGGCCAGAAGTTCCAGAAGAAATTAAGGGGACTCTTCTCCAAGTGTCTTTCCTTACTCAAGGTTAAGCCATCCTGGACCATGTGTGATTTGTAGGAATGGCCAGGGTTCCTGGATACTCAAGGCAATAGCCTGGCCCAGCCCAAGGCCATTACCATCCCTCCCCACCTGCCCACAGCCACTACCCCAACAGTTTACCATCCTTAGTCCATGGAATGACCCCTCTCCCTCCCCATCATTCCTGTATGATAACTGCTCTTAGGTAAGGAAGAAAGGTAGAAAAGAAGGGAAAGTCACCTAGAAAGGCTCCAGGGTGATGATATTGATGAAGGTGATGATGATGGTAATGGGTGATGATGCTGAAGATGGTGATGGTGATGATGAGATGATGGTGATGATGATAATTATGGTGATGGTGATAATGAAGTGATGGTGATGGTGATGGCAATGGTGATGGTGATGATGATCACGGTGATGTGATGGTGATGATAAGATGATGGTGATGGTGATGGTAATGATGATGATCATGGTGATTGTGATGGTGATTTTGAGGTTATGGTGATGGTGATGATCACGGTGATGGTGGTGATGAGGTGATGGTGATGGTGATGATGATCATAGTGATGGGTGATGGTAATGATGATGATGAAGTGATGGTGATCATGATGATCATGGTGATGGTAATGGTGATGATGGTGATGGTGATGATCATGGTGATGTGATGGTGATGATAAGGTGATAGTGATGGTGATGGTGATGATGATCATGGTGATTGTGATGGTGATGGTGATGGTGATGATAAGGTGATGGCAATGGTGATGGTAATGATGATGATCATCATCATGGTGATGGTGATGATGATCTGATCATGGTGATGGTGGTGATGAGGTGATGGTGATGGTGGCAATGATGATCATAGCGATGGGGGATGGTAATGGTGATGATGAAGTGATGGTGATCATAATGATCATTGTGATGGTAATGGTGATGATGAGGTGATGGTGATGGTGATGATGATCATGGTGATGGTGATGGTAATGGTGATGATGAGGTGATGGTGATAATGATCACGGTGAGGGTGATGGTGATGATCATGGTGATGGTGATGATAATGGTAACAGCAATGGGTCCAGGTGTCAGCACTCAGCAGTCATGGGATAGGAAGAAAGCCTAGAATATGCATTCAGTGATGCCATTTAAAAACAAGTTTTCTTACTGAGCAGATCTAAATTCACATAGAATTTTTACCATTGATAGCTCCGTGACCTTGGCAACTGCTCCAGACCTGTGTTTCAACTGAAAAAAAAAAAAAAAAAAAAAAGCAGAATAAAGAAAAAAAATAAATGGAAACAAGTGCCTTCCTCCAAAGATGTGTTGCAATGGTTAAATGAGATAACAGGGAAGGCATCTGAGCACAATGCCTGGCGTGCAGGCTGTTCAGTAAATGTGCATGTTCCTCTCTTTCCCTGCCTCCACCTCACCTGTTCTCAGCGTGGCTGGAGCAAGCAATGAGGCTTAGGATATTGGGAAAGAAGCATCTCTCCCAGAAGAGAGTCCTTCCCCAGAGACCCATCAGAGGCTCGGCAGCTCCAGGGAAAGGACCAACTGCCAAGGAAGCCTCAAGCCTCAGCCCAGCATCCCCCTCCC